TCAGCTGAGATTTTGTTTTCTTGACGAACCTTTTCCAAGTTCCCGTATTTTCTGATTGGTCAATAGAAGTTGCTTTCTTCTCTGCTCCCACAGGTTGTGGGGCTATCTTAGATTTCTTCTCTCCCTCTTCTTCATGAAAATCCTTTACAATCTTTACCTTCTTCTCATGCTTCTTCTGCCGAGGTGCTTCTATTGATGTACGTGATTTTCCGTACTTATCCTTATGCTCACAAACCACCTTTGCTGTTTCTGATTTCTTCTCAAGTTTCTCAGCAGTTTGATTTTCTCCCACTGCCTTCAACTTCCGTTCTGGTTGCTTCTCTGAGTTTCTCACAGTTGACCACTTCTCCTTCTGACCATCCTCGTGAAGAAACTTTGTGTTATGCAATAAAATATCTTCACTGTTTTCATATTCGAAACTGGCTCTTGATTTGTCTAGTCTCACCAGTTCAAAAAATTGTGTTGCTTCTTTCCATTCATCATTTTCATCAATTTCATTGAGCTGTTGAGGTGACAAAGATTTCTTTTCAGGCTTCTCCTCTGAAGACTTCCTAACCACATTAAAAATTTTGTCAACTTCAATTGAACCAGGAACTTCCTGTGTTGATTTTATTACTTTGTGCCTTTCATCTCTAACATAAAAGTTCATTCCATTATCACCTTGGGCACGAACACCACATGCTATTTCTTCTTTTATGCCATCTGACCCATCGACATTCTTGTTTAGTGTTCCTTCCTTATCTTTTCTGCCATTCTTAGAACCTGACTTCAGGTTATTTTTAACACTTTCTCTCTTCCTCTCCATTGATTCTTTTGCACTTTTAATTTTTGCTTGTGCTTTCTCCATAGCTTCTTTGATAGCGGCAGCAGATACTGCAGCAGCCGAACTTGCATCTATCTCTACATCAAAGAAAGGTGGTGAACTAGCAAATGCAGGCCCTTCAGTGGCATTCGTTCCACTGTTTGAAGTGAATCTACAAGCATCTTCTGTTCTAGCATCTAACAAAGGTGGTGGTCTAGAGGGAGGTGGCAATTCAGAAGGCTGAGTTCGAAGGCTGACTTCAGAAACAGTTACAAACATGGAATTAGGAAAAGAGCTGTTCCTGCTATACATTTTCCTCTTTGTAACGTCATCTTCGAATGTCTGTCCGCCAGTGTTACCATTTGCAGAGTGCAAGGTTTTGGTTTTCCTCAGATGTCTTCCTTTCATCATTCTTCCAGTGTTATCAAGAGTGCTATCATCAGTCACCTTCAAGCATGGATTCTCATACTCTTTTGGCAGTCGAGTGGTTTTATCAACAGCAAAAGTATATCCAGGAATTGACTCAGTCACATGTGTCACCCCATTTGACATTCCTATCTCACTTTGACAAGCCTTGTTGTATGATACGCTGAACTCCATGCTGCCATCAATTGACTCGAGAGAATCTCCATTAGACAAACATGGACTCTTCCCAGAATGATCTGATCCTTCGAGTGGAGATTCAGTTTCGACAGGAGTCCTATTGATGAGGAATCACAAGAAACATATTTTCAACAAACCCAGCATTACTTCATTGAAATCAATCAAGATGCCATTTTTCCCCTTCCATGGATGCAAACGTACAATCAATAAAAGAGAATAATATACTGAGACTTCTAAGTAAATGAACCAAGAAATTAACTTCTTAATAAACTTGATTTTCAGTGAAACAACCAAATACCTGAAGCACAGTTAATCTTCCAGCCAAAAACTACTAAAACGATATAAGAAGCATGATCCACAGCACAACATCCCATTATCAGTAAAGCTAAAAAAATTACCACCAAGCAAGAATGTAGGTCAACAACACCAAAAGTTTGTGGTTCGTCCGAAAAAAAAAAATTACTGAACTCAAGAACCCAGATCAGTGTCTCATCCTTATCCATGACTACTAGCACATAACTATTAATTGACGAAATTCATCTCTTTTGTTCGTAAAACCCACAAGCATTACGTCTCGAAACCCACACACAAAAATGCAACTTTCACGGTAAATATGCTAGCTGTGGGAACAGCAAGAAATCAAGGACAATGACACAGAAGAAAAGGCCTGAGAGGTAACCAAACGACACAGCGAAACATTTTGCTTAACCAGAAAAATAAACAAAGCTAAACATTTTCGAAACGAAAAAAAAAAAAGAAGGGAAAAGAAAAGAGAGTAAAAGATAGATGGATCATTACCAAGCTTCTTCAGAGGAATCACCATCACCACCCTTAGACTGGTCCATTACCAACTCCTCATATGACGACGCGAAATCGAGACTGTCAAATCCACCAAAAACCTCACCGTAGTCAAATCCGGAGCTCCGCACATCGGAAAATACCTCGTCCTCGTGGACCAGCGGAAGATCGAGAACCGGAATCGACGAGCCGCGAGGCGCGTTAAACCCACCGAAAATCTCGCCGTAGTCCTCTAACCGGGGAGAGAGCGCCGAGGCCCCGAACCTCGGTGGGCCACCGAAGACGTCGTCGTAGGTGTTGGCTTTGCCGGAGTTGAAGGTGTTGCCATTGCAAGCTTTCTTGGGTAGTGAAGGTAAGCCCTTGTTCGGCAGCCGAGAATGTGAGAGATTCTCCATCGGAAATGGAAGTAGTTGTAGCTAGGGTTCGCGTCTAGTGTTCGTGCGCGCGTTATATCGGTTTGGTGGTCTTGTGAGCTCTGTTTCCCATTCCTGTCCCTCCGTGCAGGTTCTGTTCACAGTCAGGAGGAGGAGGAGGAGAAAGCAAGTATTTTTCTTTTTAAAAAAAAAAAAAAAAAAGAAAATGGGGATAAGTAAAACGTGAAATGACGAAAATGACCTTTGCATTTCGATGAATAATTTTGTAAAGAAAAGAAAAATTCTAAAATTCTGAAATTTCCAAAATGCCATGTCGTCTTCTTGTAATAATCGGGCACGGTTGTTAATATGGAAAACACTGGGAAAAATTCAAATTAGTCGACTGACCGGTCTACCTGCTAAACCGGTAACAACTACTCCTCAAAGTGTTTTTTTTTTTTGTTTTAAAAAATTAATTAATAACATTTATTTCTAACTTTTTTCTGCGTTTGGATATAAATATAATCTAAAGTTACATTGAGCAATTAAAGTATTATACTTTATGAAATAATAAATTTAAATATTCAATTATAAGTTAATAAAAAATCACCAAATTAATTGTTTATTTTCTACTTTAATACAATTTCCACGTGTAAAATCGGGTTATTTTGTCAAAATAATAATAATAATTTTTGTAATTTATTTGAAACACACACTTTTTACTGCTAAAATTATTAAAGAGTTAGAACTCCTTTCAAAAATTATTTTAAAAAATTTACTAAAAATGTACACCTTTACATTTAATTATTTTTTTACTTAGTACAATATATTTTTTCAATCTTCTCAAAGAAAAAAAATGTGAGACAATAATAATAAGTTATAATATAAGGTTACGTGTCCCATTTCAGGATGATGGAGACTCAAAGTCATTGTTATTATGAAAATGAAAACAAAAATAAGTGGCAATTTGTTCTTACGAGTTTTTTTAGGCTTTTTTTTTTTTGTACTTATTCTCGACAATTGACAGTACATTCGCATTATTTTAACATCTAAAATTATTGATTTAAAAAAATAATTAATAAATGATAAAATATTAATTAATAAATATTTAAAATTAAATGCGTACTAGTTGTACCAGCTGGGTGGTCCTAATCATCAAATTTGGCTGTTGTTGCATTAATTAAAACTTTAGTCTTAATTAAACATTATTTATAACTAATTACTTGCTTATTACCCCACGACATTAACAACAATCTACTTTACAGATTTGACTTTTAATCTAACCCATTTGATGCTTTAAATTTGTGAAATACCCATTTTTAAATATTTCGTTATCACAAAATGACAAAATTAAAACATCAATTAAGAGACTAAGTATAATTTAAATTAAGAAAAACAGTTATAAGACTTAATTAAATCAGTAAATTCTAGGGCATGGATTGTATTTCTCTCTCTCTCTCTATATATATATATATATATGTACGCATATATTAGCTTAAATATAAATTTATTCCATGTAATTTCACGTAATTTTTAAATCGGTATATTATCATTATTAAACATTTAATACCGTTTAACTTTATATATTACATATAAAATTTATTAATATATGATATATTTTAAAATATTATTGACACATTTTAAATATTATGTGACATATTATATAATAAAAAATAATTTTATAGCATTAACAAATTTATAGTAATTAACCCACATGCAATTTTTCTTTTTCTTACCACGTTAACGTGAGTTAATGATA